CCTCGAGGGCAGATGTTCTCTTACTCATCTCTACCTCCTGAACTTCCAGCATGGTGGCCAGCAAAGAGTCAGGGTCACAACCGACTTATTCATCCACTCATTCCACACTCTCTGATACCAACCCCCTCAGTGTGTTGGGCACTGTGCCAAGTGCTGGGGACACAGACGTGAACAAGACAAAAGCAATGGGGTCCCTCTTCTCAGGGAACTTTCATTGTAGTCGAGGAGACAGCGTCCATAAATCATTTTGAATGGATGAACCTTTGCGGGTTACAATTTGGCAGTATTTCCACGCTGTTTTCCAGGGAGCATAAGTTGTGAAGGATTTTAAGAAATATTTCAGTCTGTGGTCAAATGTATTTTGGAAACTTTGGGTTAGACAAAGTCAAATAAATGTATGTACTGCATGATTTGTCAGCCCTTTCAGTGTACTATTTATGGATTTTTAGGGGAGTGGTAGGGCGAACAGTTCCTGAAAAACTTGCTTGGTTTTAGAACCCTTTCTTGTAAAGATACCACGTGACCTTGGATGTGATGTGCTGGGAAGTTCCACAAAGACTTTGCTTGAGACCTCCTGGGTGGCCCCCTAGCAGCTGACTCAGCTGCCAGTTATTCTATCAGTGCAGAATGTACTCAATATATTTTTCTGGATTTGGAGTCACAGCTTCTTCTATTCCAGAACCATCTATAAGATGAGAGAAGTTCAAAAAAATGGAATTAAAAGACAAAAATGAAAATATAAACTTTGTTTCTCAACGTAAGCCCCCTCAAGTTGTAGACACTTTTATAATGATGATACCAGCTATTTAGTCCATCCTTTATTTATTTATTTTTTTGAGACAGAGTCTCACTCCATCACCAGGTGCCAGGCTGAAGTGCAGTGGTGAGACCTCAGCTTACTGCAACCTCTGCCTCCCGGGTTCAAGCAATTCTCCTGCCTCAGCCTCCCGAGTAGCTGGGACTACAGGCGCGTGCCACCATGCCCAGCGAATTTTTTTTTTTTTTTGTAGTTTTAGTAGAGACGGGGTTTCACCATGTTGGCCAGGATAGTCTCGATCTCTTGACCTCATGATCTGCCCGCCTTGGTCTCCCAAAGTACTGGGATTACAGATGTGAGCCACTGCGCCTGGCTAGTCCATCCTTAAAGAACTAAGAGTCTGGGGAATTTAACCATCTCAATGCCATCTGTTTTTGCATTATTAAGAAAATGGGTCCTCTTTAAAGAATTTTAAAGATTAGAAAAGAAAAAGAAGTCAGAAGAAGCCAAATCAGGACCATAAGACAGATGCTTAATGATTTCCCATTAAAACTCTCACAAAATTGCTCTTGTTTGATGAGAGGAAGGAGCAGGCACATTGCTGTGGTGAAGGACTGGGAAGCTTTCCCTGGCATTTTTCTGCTAAAGCTTTGGCTAACCCTCATGAAACTCTCATAATGAGCAGATGCTATTGCTCTTTGGCCCTCCAGAAAATCAACAAGCAAAATGCCTTAAGTATCCTCCCAAAAATGTTGCCATGAATTTTGCTCTTGACTAGTTCACTTTTGCCATGACTAGACCACTTCCAACTCTTGATGGCCATTGCTTTGATTGTGCTTTGTCTTCAGGATCATACTGGCAAAGCCATGTTTCATCTCCTGTTACAATTCTTAGAAGAAATGCTTCAGGATCTTGATCCCATTTGTTTAAAATTTCCATTGAAAGTTCTGCTCTTGTCTGCAACTGATTTGAGTGCCTGCTATGTGCCAGGCACTGTTCTTGGCACTGAAAACAGGATCCCTGCCCTCCTAGAGCTTGCATTCTAGTAGAGGAGAAAACATATAGAGCTTACCCGGTTACACAAAAGAACATGAAGCAGGATAAGGGGCTGGAGACAGGGCGTCATGTTGCTTCTATACCAGGAGCCAAGACCCAAGAGGAGAGGTGGCTCCATCTCTCCAAAGCTGTGTGTCTTCAGGAAGGCCCTTTTGCCTCTTTGAGCTGTGGAAACCAATTGTCCCTAGCTGATACTCAGGTTCCCAGCCTAAGAAGGCCAAGGTGGCCTTGGCCAGGTCTGAAGCCTTGGGTCCACGGCTCCCCAGGCAGTGACTAAAGCTCTGTAGGCAGAATGTTGGGATTTCAGGAGCTTCTCTTAACAGGGTGCTGTTTATTGTGCCACTGCTTCCCCACATCCTTACTTGTGGTGCTGGGAATACCTGGGACAGGCCTGCCCTCTGTTTGTCTCTGTGGAATTCTGGGATGATGGCCGTTGGCTCTGAGCACACATAGAAGATTTTCCACAAAAGAGGGCTTTTTTCCACAAAAGGGCCTCAGCTTCTTGTGGGGGGAGTTTTGGGGTTCTGGAAACAACTCTGACATTCACCTGCTGACTCTCTCTTCCCCTCTCTGGTCCCAGTCTCCACATCTGTAGAGCCAGGGAAATGATAGGGGCTTGGTGATGATCTGATGATCTGCCATTGAATTCCCAAATCGTGGAGGCTTAGGGGCTGCCAGGGTAGGTGGAAGAGAGGGAGAGAACAGAGAGGCCCATGGACAGCTCCTCATCCCACTTCTCCAGAAAAGGGCCTTTTTTTTCTGATTTTTACATTCAAGCTTTGTCTGTTTTATATATTGTGATCCAATATATGATTTTGCTTGAACAAAGGGCTAGGGTTTGTAAGTATTTATAGACTCTGGTCTTGTGATTCTCAAAGACATCTTACCTCTGAGATGCAGGGATCTGCCTGATTTGGGAAACTGAAAGAATGGTGACAGATCGAAACTTAGGGATTTTTTAGTTGTGGCATTTGATTCTATATTATTGCTTTGCTTTCAACCTTTAACGTGTGTGTCCAATAACCTAGGTTCTTGGGATATTCATTTCAAGTTGAGTTAATTTGTTTTACAGTCATTTTTCTCTGGACCCCAACAAATACATTTTAGGTATTCTGAAGGATAACTTTGTATTAACTCTGACAGCTTATTTAATTTTTAAACAATATATCTTAGGTCAATAGGAAAATAGGAGGTGCTGTACAGAAATTCCCTCTGTGGGAGACTTGTGCACATCTGTAAATTTCATGAGTGAATGTGAGCACTGATACAAAAGCTAAGGGACTTGGGAATCTGGACATTTTCCAATGTAGGGTGTTTTAAGCAGAGTCTCGGGATGTGTTTTTTAAGATATGGAAACTGGTGACAGTGTGTCTTCCCCATCTCAGTAAATGACAACACTACCTTCCCACTGCTGAGACCAGCAACTTTGGAATTGCCCTTGGCTTCTCTCTTTCCCTCACATATCACAACAGATCTATCGGCCAGGCTGTCAGACGTGACCTTGGAAATAGATTGAGAATTCAGCTACTTCTCACTACCTACCACAGTGGCCAGTGTCTTTCACTTGGATTGTTGCCACAGCTGTCTGATGGGTCTCCGTGGTCCCTCCCTGGCCTCCCTGTAAGATGGATTAACTAATCACACGTCTGCCACGTAACTTGATACCTGCCCGGTTTCACTGCGTGTATGTACTATGAGGGTGGCTCTTAGGATGACGCTTTGTTCGATGTCTTGTGAACATGGAATAAAGTCAACAAAACTTATCATGAGTAGGAAGTAAGAGCCATAAGATGGCTCCAGATGGGACCAAATCCCAGAAAAAGTTCATGTTTCCTAGAACATGCAAGATCGCTGCCTTGAGAGGACATAAGAGAGCAAGGGCAGGGCAGGGCAGGAATAGTCTCATTCCACCAGTGACCACACAGATAATAGGACATTAGGTATTATGAATCCTGTGGGACACCGATGCATCAGATGTGAGGTCAGTGTCATTATCACTCTCGTCATGAGAACAGGTGTGTAGTTTGACAGGTTTTGATAAATGTGCACCCTAATGTAGCTACCGCTCCAATGTAGGTCTAGAACATTCCCTTCAGCCCAAAAGGTTCCTCTGTGCTCCTCTGCAACCCCTACCTACACCCCCACAACATAGACCTTCCACCCTAGCCCTGGCAACCACTGATCAGACTTAATTTTGTCTGCCTTTTATTGATTCTAATATTCAGCTGAGAACAGCAGCAGGGCACTTGCGTGAAGGTCTGGCTGTGGAGGTAGATGGCCTTGGTCTACCCTGGTCTGTGCAGCCTTGCTAATGACCTCCTTGCATCTCAGTTTCCTAATCCATCCAATGGGGATAATAATCATACCTATTTCCCTAGGACTTTGCTAGGAATAAATAGCACTTAATAGCCCAACAGATAACAGCTACCGTTACTGTTTGTGGAGTATGCATTTTGTGTTGGGCATTGTGCTAAGTACCGCGTAAGGATGTGGCAGCTGCTCCCTGTGCCCTCTCCACGTCCCCGCTGGTGCTCACCATTCCCGCACACACCAGCAGCTTCTTACTGCATCTGAGATGCTCTGAGGGAGCATTTCCTCCGGCTGCAGGAGCGGGCTCAGGCTGCACATAAGGAGGCCGGAAGTGCTAAAAGTTAATCATACGTGTCCCACGTAACTTGATATCTACCTCAACCAATGATGGCCAGGAGTTGGCAGACAAATGCTCCAACTTCCTTGCCTCCAGTTGAGACAGCTCTAAGGCATGGTCTGCCCTGTCCCCCAGGGTTCTCCATCAGAATTGAGCTCCAGGTGTCCACAGTGGTGACTTTCTCATGGGACACTCTCTGTATAGGGTTCCTGCTGTTTCACTTCCCCAACGTCCTTCCAGAACCTCCTGGGATCCCCTATCGAGTAAATTATTTTCATTTTCATCTTTATCTCTAAGACAATAGTGTATTTCATTTAATTCTCAGACTGTCCTATGCGGTGGACCAAAATAGCTTCCTCATTATATAGCTGAGCAAAACGAGCCTTAGAAAGATGATAACACCTGCTTAAGGTCAATGCCTTAGGCAAGCACCTGCTCCGCTGCTGCCCTGAGAATGAGCCAGGGCAGGCCCCGCCCTGGGCCTCCTTCCGGGTCTTCCCGAGCCTCGCAGACCCTCTGAGCATGCCTCTCCTCCTGCAGGAAGGTCGCTGCCTGTTCATCATCCTGCTCATGGCGGTGTACTGGTGCTCGGAGGCCCTGCCGCTCTCGGTGACAGCGCTGCTGCCCATCGTCCTCTTCCCCTTCATGGGCATCTTGCCTTCCAGCAAGGTCTGCCCCCAGTACTTCCTCGACACCAACTTCCTCTTCCTCAGCGGCCTGATCATGGCTAGTGCCATTGAGGAGTGGAACCTGCACCGGCGAATTGCCCTCAAGATCCTGATGCTCGTTGGAGTCCAGCCGGCCAGGTAAGAACAGGTAACAGGTCCAGACTACAGTGGGGAGGCGGAGGGACCACGACTCTGAAGCCTATACCTGCTTTTCTTGGTTTACTCGTCCAGGCCAGGAAACTCATCAGTTCCTACCATTCATTCCTCAGCTATTCAGCAAGCACCCGCTGCATGCTAGACACAGCACTAGGCCCATCATGGGGAACTTTTCTCAGAGGTGCAGAAGAATTACCTGGGGAGAGGGTTGAGATCCTGACCCCCAGGCCCCACACCCCGGGATTCCAGTCCCTTAGTTTTGGAGGGGGCTACACAGAGAGTATGACCCGGACTGCTCAGGGCTGAATCCCAGATGACCTGCTCTGAAAAATGACTTAACGTCTGTCTGCCTATAAATAGGATGTCGTGGCACCCGCCTCATAGAGTGTAGTGAGGATTAGCTGAGTGAATGCAGGTAAATCCCCTAGACTTGGGCAGACAATGCTGGCTGTTAGGATTCTTGTTTGCTATTTACCTGCCTAGGTAATGAAGGTCAGATGGGAGTTGAAGGTGGGGGAGGCGAAGGAGGAGGGAAGATGGCCTTGGAGGGAAAGGGAGGCAGGGTCCAATCCCAGAGAGCCTCAGGCCCTCTGGCTAGGATTTGGGCTTTCATTCTTAGAGGATTGGGTGGCCTTTAAAATAGGGGTATTATTTTCATCTTAATTTTTGTTCCATGAACCACTTTGGCATTTGGTGAATCTCAAGGATCTTCCCAGAATAACGTTTTTAAATGCATAAAGCCCATCAGAGTTTGAAACAACTACAGCAAAATGCAATTACCTAATTTTTTTTTAAACCCAGACACCTGTGCCCTGGTGCCATCGAAACTGCTTAATTAACACAGCAAATGGCAAGACCCAGCAATGGGCCTAATCACACCCATAATGTTGAGCAGCTTTGAGTGCCGATGATATTTCAGGATGTCTGCAATGATTATAATGTGACATAAAAATGTCAGGGATCTTGCCGGGTGCAATGGTTCACGCCCTGTAATCCCAGCTCTTTGGGAGGCCAAGGCAGGCAGATCATTGAGGTCAGGAGTTCAAGACCAGCCTAGCCAACATGGCGAAACACCCGTCTCTACTAAAAATACAAAAAATTAGCTGGGCGTTGTAGTGCTGCTTGCAGTCCCAGCTACTCAAAAGGCTGAGGTGGGCAGATCGCTTGACCCCAGGAGGCGGAGGTTACAGTGAGCCAAGATCACGCCACTGCACTCCAACCTCAGTGACAGTGAGAACTTGTCTCAAAAAAAAAAGAAAGNAAAAAAAAAAAAAAAAAAAAAAAAAAAAAAAAAAAAAAAAAAAAGAAAAAAAAAAAGAAAACGTCAGAGATTTTTTTGGGTATGACAGAGTCTCAGGCACTGCTCATACGCCGGAACTTTGTTGCCTGTTTATCACTGAAGGAAATGCTTAATTTGATTAGATGTTAGCAAAATGAAGATACACATTTTCCCCCAATCTAGTTCTGAATTATATCCATAGACTTATTGTTATAAACCTGGGCTTTAAAGGGTTCTAAGCCAGGTAGGGATATGGCCAGATCTGCTTTTTTAAAGATTCCTCTTAGCTGCCTAGCAGAGATCAGATGGGAGGGGACGGGTGTGAGAAGCTGATACATTCCAGTTAGAAGACCACTTAGGGTGTCCTAACAAGAAACAGTAGCAGCTTAGACTAGGAGGTGGCAGTGGAGATGACAAATTGGATATATTTGAGAGCTCTTTGGGTGATAAAATCACATCTATGGAACTGATTCCAATGCCAAGTGGAATTTGATCTCCAAGGGCACACCATGGTGTGAGAGCCCACATGAGAGGTAGGCAGAATAGGGGGACACTTCCTGGAGGAGGTCATGACATTTGAGCTTGACTTTGAAGAATGAGTAGGGCTGCTCTTAAACATATTCTAAAGTTACAGTAATGAAAACAGTAAGACAAGTCTGGAAACAGATTTTTGAAACACAGAATAAATCTAAAGGAAATCCAAATCAGCAGGGAAGGATTCTCCAATAAATAGTGGGAGCTGGGATAATTGGTTTGTTCCATGAAAAAAAAATCTCTTTACATCTTACTTTGTACTATGCATCTCAGTAAATTTCAGGTGGATTCAGAGTTCAATATAAAGAAAAAAAAAATCCTGAGGCTTAGATTCTGTTGGTGGGAATGGACCAACCAGAAGCAGGGAGGCAGGAGAGTTAAAGTGTGTTGGATGTTACTGAGAAGTTCAGCAGAATCTCAGCAGGGGGTGGCTGGTAAGAGTGGGAGGAGCAAAGGGGGAGGAAGCTAGGAAGGCCATGAGAGAAACATGGTGGAATGTCTTGGTTCCCGGGCAACTTTATTCTGAAATGGGTGTCATTGAGGATTTGGGGGCAAGAAAAAGAAAACATCAGGCTAGGGATGTCTTTAGAACCTGGGTACCTGTGGACAGTTCACTTAAATGCATTGAACCCCAGTTTTCCTAGATCTGAAATAAACCTCGTGAGTGGATTTGGTTTCTGCTTGGAGTCTCAAGCTTCCATCTGTAAAATGGATGATTGGATTCCTCAGGGATGGCAAACTGGGACCACAGGATCTCTTGGGTCCCGGCCTCTGGATTTGCCTGTAATGCCATCTGTTCCGCAGGCTCATCCTGGGGATGATGGTGACCACCTCATTCCTGTCCATGTGGCTGAGCAACACCGCCTCCACTGCCATGATGCTTCCCATTGCCAATGCCATCCTGAAAAGCCTCTTTGGCCAGAAGGAAGTTCAAAAGGACCCCAGCCAGGAGAGTGAAGAGAACACAGGTGAGGCTGTGCAAAGGCATTGGGGCCAACTCCACCAAGGTTTGGAAGTGGGAGTGGAATGTTCAAAGGGAAGGCCAAGGGCATGCACACTTATTGAGTACCTACTGTGTGTCAGGTGTTTTAATTATGATAATGACTGACCATTAGATACAAAATCATGTACCTTGTTTTGTAAAAAAATTTGTACTTATTAAGCACATACTATATACTGAGCACTGAGTTAAACTCTTTACATACGTTATCTCCCTCAATTCTCAAAACAGCTCTATAAAGTAGGCACTGTAATTAAACTGTGTTTTACAGCATTCAAAGAAATGCTCAGCATCACCAGCACTGAGAGAAATGCAAATTGAAACAATGACATTTTAATCAATGAGACAGGCAGAAATAAGAAAGCTGGTGAATCCCCATGTTGGCAGAAATGGGAACCACAGGAACTCTTGTGCACTGATTGAAAGACTGTAGACTGGGTTAGCATTTCTTAAGGATCTTCTGCAAGGATTTAATCTCATTGAATGTGTTTATACTCTGTAACCCACAGTTTTGCTCCCAGATACCAAAGGAATTCTCCCATAGGTCCAGGAGGGAACACACACAGTGATATTCACTGTAGCGTTCTCTGTGTGTGGGGAGTTGCTGGCTACGTGGGCTTTATCGCTAGCACAGGCAAAGGCAAATATGGTGGGTACACACCATTGAGCATTACGCTGCTTTGAAAGGAGAAGGCCAGTATGGTGGCTCACACCTGTAATGCTAGCACTCTGGGAGGCCAAGGCATGTGGATCACGAGGTCAGGAGTTCAAGACCAGCCTGGCCAGCATGGTAAAAACCCTATTTCTGCTAAAATTACAAAAATTAGCTGGACATGGCACATGCCTGCCATCCCAGCTACTCAGGAGGCTGAGGCAGGAGAATTGCTTGAACCAGGACCTGGCAGGTGGAGTTTGAAGTGAGCCAAGATCACGCAGCCTGGGATACAAAGCTAGACTCCATCTCAAAAATAAATAAATAAATAAATAAATAAATAAATAAATAAATAAAAGAAAATAAAAATAATTAGTGAACTAAATAGTTCTATAAATAGATCTCATAGAGCAGTTATGATTGGGGGTAAAAACTAGAATGAGATCTAGAACACAACTTCAATATGTAAGCTGAAAATACACATGAATAGCAAAATATTTTATAAGAAATGTGTAATGAAAAACTACACATTAAACATATTGGAACAGTTGCTATAGAAAGGGTGAGAGTGGGATATGGGGAGAGAAAAAACTAAAAAAACCCAATCAATTATAGAAAAGAGAAGGTTTTTGCAGTAAATAGTGATAATGTATTATGAACAGAGGGATTGGGTTCCCTCAATCCTCTGAAATTGTGTTCTTAACAAAACAAAACATACACAGCCATTGTATTTTTAGGTGACTACCTACAGGCTCTGAGAGGGAGATGATTTTCCCAAATCATGTAATGAAGTTAAAGAAGCTCAGGATCAAGTCAGAGGCACAAGGATGTCATGACTTTTCATTGGCGACTCTGTGGTTCCCTTGGTCTTACGGTTTGCAAAGTAGCTGCCACATCATGTCACTTTAAAATATCTTACCTTTAATTTCTATAACTGTCTTCTAAAAGGAAGCTTTGAATTGGTACATACGTGGGCAGAAATGGCTGGTTTAACCCCAGCATCGATTCTTCCTTTGTTCTGTTAGGAAAGGCTGAATCTCCCAGCTCCCCTTTGATTAGATGTGGTCAGGTGACTAAGTCTGGTCAATGGCCTATGAGTGGAAATGATGTGTGCAGTTTCTGGGCTCTGCCCTTCCTGCTGGATGGAATGTGAATATGATGGCACCTGGGATCCAAAGACAGAAGCCACATCTCGAGAGATAGACGGCAGATCTGCCCTGTGGCCTTGTGTCATTTACCCCAAGGAACACGACAAGCATTATCCATGAAACCATAGGTTTGGATGCTAGTTCCATTTTTTCAAATAGGAATTAAATTAAATATATATCTGTTAAATTTAAGTGTTGATCCATGAACCATCGAAGTTCATCTCACTGACAGTCCCATGATTATTTCCCTGTCATACCCTAAGGGGTCCTGCTTATTTTATTTTCACGACAGTCCTGAACACTGGAATTGATTATATGTACTTTGCAGATGGAGTTTGGAGAGGTGAGATGATGTGGTCAGAATCATAGCGTTGATCCAGTAGCAGAGCCAGCTCCATGCAAGGGCAGAGTCTTCCACGAGGAAGGGAGGAGAAGCTTTATCACATGGATTAACAAACTTTCTCTATAAATGACCAAATAGTAAATACTGCAGGCTTTGTGAGCCGCTCTGTTGCAACCACTCAACTCTGCCCTTGCAGAGAGAAAGCAGCCACAGACAAAACAAACGAGCAGGCGTGGCGATGTGCCGACACGATTTTATTTATGCGTGCCGAAATTAAAATTTTATATAATTTTCACATCAGGAAATATTCTTCTATAGATTTTTTCCAACCATTGCAAAATGTAAAAGCCATTTCTAGTTGGCAGGTCACACAAGAACGGGTGATGGGCTGGATCCGGGGTGCATATTGTAGGTGGCTGACCCCTGCTGTACAATATTGGCTTTCTTGATTTTCAAACTGTTTCCCCTAAGAGAATGGCCTGACGGTCACCCTGAGGTGGCAGCAAGCACCTGGGCCTCTGCCCTTTCCCCCATTTCAACCCTTGTTAGGCTCACTTTATCCATTTTATACACTGGACTTCCAAGCAATAATATCCAGTGTTTACTGTGCACAGACTCTTAGGTGGGCCTTGTATCTGAATGAGATGGAGCAAGCATCGACCTCATTTAGAGAAACGGAATTGAGGAAGGAATTGAGAAGAGTACCTCCCACCCCCGGTTACCCAGTTTCCAAACAGTGGCTCTGGTATTTCGAATCCAGGCTGGCTGACCAGAGCCTGCGCTCTCAGGCTCCGTTATTCTGCCCCCCACATGAGACTCTGAAAGTGGCCAAGCAAAGTACTGAGAGCCAAGTCCTTCATTATGAAGATGAAAAATCTGAGACTCAGGAAGGGGAAGGGACTTGTCCAAGGCCACACACAGTGGTGGCCGTGCAGTGAAGTCCGGAGTCTTTCCCCCCATGCTGCAGGATGTCAGGAGGGAGGGGACCCTGGCGGCTGGGATAGATACCTACCTTTACAGGCTGTGGGATCAGGGAGCAGGAATTGGTTAATGATCAACCCCTAAGACCTAAAACAAGGCTAATTCCAATGCAAAGAGAGCTATTCACTTTCACCAGTTCTGAGCTTTGACCAGGTGGCAGGAGGTGAGGACAGGGGTGGAGGGAGTAGAGGTTCTGCCGGTGGACTAGGAGAGGGACCAGGAAATTCCTCAGGGCTTTAGGTTTATGAGGACATCTGTAGCAGCAGCAGCAACCATAATTATAATGTGAGCAAGGCTCTCATGTTCTGAGCAACCACCACATGCCAGATACTGTGCTAATTTGTGTGTGTGTGTGACGGAGTCTTACTCTGTCCCCCAGGCTGGAGTACAGTGGCACGAACTTGGCTCACTGCAAACTCTGTCTCCTGGGTTCAAGCGATTTTCCTGCCTCAGCCTCCTGAGTAGCTGGGATTACAGGTACATGCCACCATGCCCAGCTGATTTTTTGCAGTTTTAGTAGAGATAGGATTTCACTGTGTTAGCCAAGCTGGTCTCGATCTCCTGACCTTGTGATCCACCCACCTCTGCCTCCTAAAGTGCCGGGATTACAGGGGTCAGCCACCGTGCCTGGCCTGCGCTATTTTTTTTTATACTCATTAGCTCATCTAATCTTCATAATTGCACTAGGAGGTAATGATGCTCATTATATAGATAAAGAGACTGAGACTCAGAGAGGCAAAATGATTTGCCCAAAGTAACGTGGTAATTTGCTGAGTTCTGTCTGAATCCAGAATCTATGCTTCTAAGCACCTTGCCGTGGGGCCTGGTACAGAGAAGGCAGAACCTAGGGCAGGGTAGGACTATCTAGATAAGATTTTAGAGGTCCTCAGCCTTGGAGGGCAGCGCTGCTGCCTTTCTCTGGTTCCTTTACCCAGTTCTGTGCCCTGCACTGCCTAGGGCACCCAGGGGCCATGTGAGTGATGGCTTCGCCAACGTCCCCCTGCATGGATGCTCTCCTTCGATCCTCTGCCACCCTGTGGGGAGGCTGTATTAGCATGTCCATTTTACAGAGGAGGAAACTGAAGCTCCAAGGTATGATTGGCCCCGTGTCCCTTGGCCAGTAAAAGGCCCACCTAGATTTTGTTTTTGTGTTTTAGAACAGAGTCTTGTTCTGTCTCCCAGGCTGGGGTGTAGTGGTGTAATTAGCTCACTGCAGCCTCAAACCCCTGGTTCAAGTGATCCTCTAGCCGCAGCCTCCCAAAGCACTGGGATTACAGGCGTGAGCCACCACGTCTGGCCCTCCATCTGGCTTTTGAATCTAAACACTTTCACCTCCTTTCTCTGTCCATAGAAAGCTAGCTTGCCGTCTGCATCTTTCTTTTATAGAAAGGTCCAGGACACCACCCTTCACAACACACAGGTGTTTTACATTGGGCGAAGCGTTGTCCTCCTTCAGACTTCATCCGTAATGCTAACCCACCTCCTGCGACTTTCCTCATCTATAAAACAAGAACACTGACTCTTGCATGAGAAACGAGAGCCAGGTACATAGGAAGTGGTTAATATGTGGCAGTTGTATTAAAAACGACCTCTGAGACGTCCCGGAATCGGAGGCACAGGTATTAAGACCTACCTTGATGCGCATCGACATTGCCCCTCCTACCTGAGCGGGATTTATTCGCTTCCTGGTTGACAATCTGTTTCCTCCATGGACTCCAAGCTCCACGAGGGGTGTATCAATCTTTTTCAGTGTTGTGAATCTTCACTGGTGCAGCCTTGTTCCCCTAAGACACTGTTGGGATATAGTAGATGTTAAATAAATGTGTAGAATTAATGAATACGCA